TACACAACAAAAAAAAATTGTGAGCAAAAAAAAAAAAAAAAAAAAAAAAAAAAAAAAAGATAGAAAAAAATCAAAAACCTAGTTTGTTGGTACCTGAGTCCAGTCCCATTTCTTGTTTTGGGAGGAAAAAAAACTGAGAAAGGCATGTGAACCCTTCTCATTAAACTTTTCAGTATTTACTAGAAAGTAACAAAAGAGTGGAGTATGTACATAAGAATAGGGAAAAAATTTAAACCTCCACACACAGAAGCTGCCATTTGTTGAAGACATTCTATATGCAGGACACAGTATTATGTATTCTAATAATCTACATTTAACATACAGAATTTATGTTCTAAGAAATTAACCTGTTCTAAGGCACACAAGAGGAAAATAGACTAGCAGACTAATCTTTAGCACTGTTGCTTTTCAAAAGAAAATGCACATAGAAAGACAAAAGAATATCTTATGTAAGCGCCACTCACTGAAAAAACATTTATTTAGCATCTGTGACATAATGTATATTGGTTGGACACTGGGGACCCCTAGATGAAAGCTAGTCCCCACTCTAGGTTAGATTAGTAAATCATAATCATAATATGATAAATACAAATTCGTACCTATGATTGCCGCTGCCTGGGTTGTTTTGATGAGGGGTAGAGTGCTGTCATAAGCTTCTTTGGGAACATAGACTGAGCGGTCTCTGAATTTGTTTTTCTTCAAAATTTTGTGCAATTCATTCAGTACTCCTACCCACTTACTCCTCTCATTCTCACTATCTGCTAGCATCAGGATTGAACATTTGCTGCTAGATGCTGAGAGCTGCGAAGCTGTGACCTAGAACAATTTAATCAATATTCATTATATTAGAAAATTGACACCCTTTATGCTAGTTTAAAGATTATGCTAGTTTGCTTAGCACTCACCAATAAAATTAGCATTCATTAAATGATACCTTTAACAGAGTTTAGCTAGTCCTAATAAGCCTAACTAGTTCAGCACTAAAATTCATGACAAAGCAAATATAACAGATGCCGTTCAAAATGTTAGTAGTATTTTCATTTTCTTTGCTATAGAAGTGCCAGAACACTTAACACTAAAAAAAAAATGCATTACATACACTTGTACAACAGTAACAATTGACATTTATTGAACACCAGGTAGTTCTAAGTACTTTATCAGTATTAACTCATTTACTCTTAACATCTTCATGGGATAGGTATTATTACTACATCTGTGATACAGAGAAATTAAATAATTTCTACACAAGTAGAAGTTCAGGATCCTGTGTCCATGCTCTTAAGCACTATACTATACTAACCTTTCAACTTATTTTTAAAAAGTCATAAATATTTGTTTTCCGTTACTTCATGAGACTATATCACATTACCATTACAGAAGATTCAATTGCTCTTTTTTTGAAGTTTATTCATTTATTTCTTACATGAGCAAGAGAGACAGAAAGAGACACATACAGCACTCCCAATACGGTTCCCACTCCATGACCCACCCCCAGCCTCAGCCAACCCGGATTATGGGCTTATGCACACCCAGCATGTGCAGGGAGATCTCTGAGAGAACCTGGGACTAAATAAAGGTTTACTATTACATAAAGAACATTCACAATCAGAACAATTTTACATTTGATATACATGGTTCTCATTTAAAGTAATTTAAGCAGAGACTGGACAGTGAATAGAGGTAAAATGTGACATTCTGCAAGGCTAACTCACATGGCAAGGTTATTGGTACGTGTCTGGTGACCACCCTAAGTATGCCGGGCATGTACATGCCCATGAGGCAGGGCTGGGTGGGGATGGATTGTGATGTTGGGATCCTTTTTCTCTCTTCTTGCTCATGGGGAAGAATAAACAGTTGTCAGTCTCAAAACAAAATAACTAAGTATAGTTTTTGTCTGGCCTTACTCAGACATAAGATTCATAGACAAATACTAAGCAGATAGGTATAACAATAGGGCAGTAGTTATTTTTAAAAGCTCTATTGTCTTAATTCACCATCTCAAGATCACATGTAGTAAACAGTGCCCAAAGGTCGCTACTGACGATTCCTCCTATGGAGTTCCATTCGTCTTCTCAAGAGGTGGAGTCTATTTCCCTTCCTTTACATCTGGGTTCATGACAGAACGCAGAAAGGTTTTGGACCTAGTCCTTAAAAGGCCTGGCAGCTTCCATTATTGTCTTGAAAGCCAACCACCTAGAGCTTAGCTGGTCTACTGAATGATTAGAGACCACATGAAGAGGGAGCCCATGAAGAGGAGAATGGAGATCTAGCAAACAGCCAGCACTAAGGTCCCCGATGTGACATTCTGTATGTTCCAGTGTCCTCAGTGGAAGGTCACTACCTGAGTGCCCCAAGCCAACACTACATGAACTCTATGGCTGACCCGCAGAGTGATGAAAAATAATAACTAGTTAGTTTAGACCACTAAGTTTTCAAATAGCAGTTACAAAGGAATTTCTATACAATTTTTAACTAAAGATTTTAAAAGAGAAAAACTTGTATTTTTTTTTTAACTTGAGAAACGTCATACTTATCCAACTTTCCACATGATAGCATTTATTTGAAAATTGAATTGGGACTCCTATTATTCAACAAGAAACAATTTTAGAAGCCATCTATTCATACTTTCTACAGGTCTTTCACTAATTAAACACTTAGAACTAATTTTCTATATGCTCAAATATCGCATGACATGGAACATAAAAAGGAATAGATGGTACGGTTGTCTTGTCGTAAGTTTATGATTTACATAGAAAGGCAAAACATAGTTATTAAAGCCAAATTATTCAGTGATCAAATTATAGCACACACACTTACTCTAAATATACAGGGTATATCTTTTCGACTTGCATGAATCACATCAGAAGCCAAGACTGAGCTAACAGAAAAGTCTTCATCCCTAAAGAAAAGTGAAACATTAAAAGTTAATATATGCAGCTGTGTGTGTGGTCATGCCACAATCTCTTTTCCTCCATTTCTCTAACCTGTCAAGATTCTGGGCAGGTATACACATGTGTCACCACAGGACTAAGATTTGAACCAGTTGGCCACATGGGATCTGCTTCCCTTAACCCTAGACTACAAGGCCAGCCCCATTTCCTTCATCCTGAAAGCTTAAGACCTTAGTCTAGGGACCAGCAGTTGGCGTAATGGCTATGTCGCTGGACTCCCATGTAGTTGACCGCAGTTCCAGTCCTGGACTAGGTGGCTTAAACTCACTACGGGCACATGTGTACACGTGCCCAAGATCTCGAGAGAAGAATAGAGGAGAGAGGATTGCAGTGTTGGAACATAAAAAGGAATAGATGGTACGGTTGTCTTGTCGTAAGTTTATGATTTACATAGAAAGGCAAAACATAGTTATTAAAGCCAAATTATTCAGTGATCAAATTATAGCACACACACTTACTCTAAATATACAGGGTATATCTTTTCGACTTGCATGAATCACATCAGAAGCCAAGACTGAGCTAACAGAAAAGTCTTCATCCCTAAAGAAAAGTGAAACATTAAAAGTTAATATATGCAGCTGTGTGTGTGGTCATGCCACAATCTCTTTTCCTCCATTTCTCTAACCTGTCAAGATTCTGGGCAGGTATACACATGTGTCACCACAGGACTAAGATTTGAACCAGTTGGCCACATGGGATCTGCTTCCCTTAACCCTAGACTACAAGGCCAGCCCCATTTCCTTCATCCTGAAAGCTTAAGACCTTAGTCTAGGGACCAGCAGTTGGCGTAATGGCTATGTCGCTGGACTCCCATGTAGTTGACCGCAGTTCCAGTCCTGGACTAGGTGGCTTAAACTCACTACGGGCACATGTGTACACGTGCCCAAGATCTCGAGAGAAGAATAGAGGAGAGAGGATTGCAGTGTGGCCATCCCCCCCGGGGGATGACTTCTTGCTCTCTGTTTCTCTCTGTAAGACCTTAGTCTTATCTTTGATTCTTTGCTTTCTATATCCATTCCCATAGCAAGTTCTGTTAAATTTTTCTTGCATCTTTCTCTTTGTATTCTGTATTTGTGGGGGAAGATAATGTGTTTGAGATGTGGGTATAATATGCCCACATGAAACATAGCTGAAAATTCTGGTTTTGAGTGATGGATGGATATATCTTAGTTGGAGATCTACACTTATAAGTCATCAATGCAAGGGTGATGACTTCGGAACAGTATTTGGAGTTATGAGAAAAGGTAAAGGAGAAGACTCTAAGGGACTGGGAAAGAATCTGAAAAATTAAACCAGAAACATTCAAGAGATACATTTACTTAAATGTTTCTGGGAACACGTTTTCCAAGGGCCTGTGTGATTTTTATTTCCTTTCTTTGCATTTGAATTATACTCTAAGATTTTATGTACTGTTATAAATATTATACCCCCATTATTCCAGCAATATTTAAATAAGTCTTTTGGACTCAAACACTAGCTATTTTTCCTTGACTCTTAGCCCCACACACTCAGCATATATACCAACTGTCCTAAAACTACACCTCATTTCCTAATTTTAATTGTGCTAGTACTATGATATAAGTGAATTAGAAAATAAACATGAAATTAGGTTTTTAAAAACTATAGCAATATAATTAAAAGAACAATAGAAAATTTTAAATTCCTATGTTGCAATGATACAAGTGTTTTTACTTGTGACACCTTACCTCATGTCAATCACTTGACTAATGACAACACTGGGCTGCGATGCTTTTCCTTCAGCAATATCATACAGAAAGAGTTTGAAGTCACAGACTACAGCCAAAGTTCTTTGCCATCCTTTTTTCACTCCAGCTGGCTTAGGAATCTTTGTTTTAGGCATACAGGCAAACAAACAAACACAACTCAAATGGAAGCATCAGCTACATATATAATCATGGGTGAAAAACTACAGGTACTGCATGGGTATTCTAAGTCTGCCATTTTGGCTGGTGAAGTAGCAGGCAGGATACATGTATCATTAATATGAAAAAATGTGAGAACATACTCCTCAAAAATGGAATGACTTTATTCTAAAAAACAGAATAACAGTCACAGCTTTCTAAGCATAGATGTCAAAATGAGTAGTATAATAAATTTGGTTTACAATGTAAATGTTAAGATAACAAGAGTGTGCCTCAATATCTTGTAATTCATAACCATATGCCACCTCTCTAGCAAGACCATGTGCCAAACACTCCTTTATGGAGATTTCAACACCTGTTCATCACAGGACAGGGACAATACAAAAAAGTTTGAGACATTTTAGTATTTATTTTTCAAGTACAGAGGTGAGGGTTTTACTTTCAAATCATTACTCTGGATATAATTAACAGATGACTTTCATTCATTTAATTTTCCATCAAGTACTATGTCTGTAAAGTGACTGATTTTTAATTCATTAATAAACTGTAAAGGATTAATCTAGGCCCAACCCAATCATACTTACCCTAACATGACCTTCATAAGCTGTTCCTATTCCTTTCTGTGGATCAATACCCAGGGGACCTTTTGTCTGTTCAGGAGGAACTGGACAAGTAGTTGGAGCTTTGTTTACACAAGTTATGTGACATGAGAATCCACAAGCTTTTGGAAGGAAAAAAAGAAACAATGTTTGATAAAAATTCATTTTAATAACAATAAAAATTTCATTGCACATAAGATGCTATGTTAGATGATTATCTCTGATTTTATATTAAACAACGCTTTTATCATTTAGGGAGCTGGTTTACTTGCTTAGCACTACGAATTTCAAGGAAAAACAGTAAATATTTTTTTATTATTTGCAGTACTATAATTCTTTGTTAATTAACATTAGTGATCAAAATGAGAAGCAAATAGAAAAAACATGCAACACTCAGAATAGAGTTCTTTCTAGCTCTACATCTCATTGCAATTTGGTATCTACCCTGAAATCTCTTTTGCAGTCATTAGTGGACTTTTAGACTACCTGGCATATTTGATTTATCTGGCACACTTTATCAATCTTTCTTGAAAATAAAATTTTTAAATGATTAAAATGGCATAAACTAGGACAGTCAGTGGCACAGTGATTAAGGCAGTTGGATTCCACATGACTGACTGTGCAGTTCAAGTCCCAGATATGACAGCTTGAAAAACACATCAGGTGGTGTGTAAAGTGTATGTCTAAAATCCTGAAAGAGAGATGGAGAAGAGATTGTGGCATGGCTATTCCCTGTGTGGGGTGGTTTTCTTACACTCTCTCTCTACCTCTCTTCAGCAAGAGCATACAACCTCTAGCAAATTTTTTTTAAAAAAAGGTATAAATTATGGGTATATTTTAGGAGTTACTATGATGATATGACTATATATATTTAAACTACTGCAAAGGTAATTATAATTGGTGACTTTATTAAGTGCTTTTTATTTTTCTATAGCAGTCTAAGCAAGGTACCATTATCATTCCTGTTACATATGACTTGCTTAGGGTCACAGAACACAAGTGGCAGCCTGGACTTCTAACCTGGGCAGTCTGGCTCAGAGCCTGCATATCTAACTACTAACAATATTTTCATGGTACTTCCATTTGAAATTCAAATAGTGAACTTGAGATTTTGAAACAAGATAATAAAAATAAATTTGAAAGTTTCATTGAGAATTGGTTGGGTGAGGATTAAAGGTTAAAAATTTTTAAACACACAAGTTTGTTGGGAAGGACTATAGACTAAGAGTGGCTAAGCAATTCCTATTCTAAGGGTGGATTTTGGAGAAAGAATGAGCGGAATTAAACTAGGTATCTTGTTTCTCTGACATTCAACAGACAACGTGCTTTGTTTATTGTCTACATTCCTGTTATGCAAAGCAAAGCAAATGATTAAGTAAAACAAATATCTGCCTATCTTTAAAAAGAATAAAGTTATTTGGTTACAATTTAGGTGATGGTAGGACTCTAAGGTCCCTTTTTTTCCCAATTTTGTTCTTACCTTCACATGAACAGCCCTGTCTTATCAAACCCACCATCAAAGAGGTACACTGATGACATTTGGTAGGAGTAGTAAAAGATTTTACGAAAAACTGGTGAGTCTTGCGCTGTAAAATAAATTGATAAAAAAAATACATATTATTTAAAGAACTCCCATAACGTGAATGTCTAATCCCTATACCACCTAACAGAATGTTTTCTAAATAAGATAGGAGGAATTCTTGCCATTCCTTATCACAGTTTCTTATAGTTTATGCTCTTTAAATATTTTTATTAGGCAACATTAAACTGGATGGACTAAGTGAAAATAATAAAAGTTACATTATAATCAATTGCTCTTGAATGCCATTTGAAAAATGTATAAAATAAACTGTAGCCTTTTTAGGTTTGCAAATCTTGGCTTTAAGATTTCTATAAATTCTTAAAATTATTCTTCAACAAAGAGTTAAGTGAAAGTTTGCATATTTATACCTATACAAATATAAAATTTTAAAATGCTTTATACTTTATTAGGAAAAACAAAAGAGTAATTCAAAATTCTTGTTTTTACTATAATTGTACATTTTATTTTGGGGAACTAAGAAAATGATATGCTTCACAAATCTGTTTCCTCCCATGGAGGAAGGTAGTATTACATTTGAGCAGATAAAAATACATGCTTAAATATTTCAGGGACAGATTGCAGTCTAAATGTTTTTATTAAAAACCTAGTAGTTACAGTTCTCTAACTCTTGTCAGATTTATGTAGTGGTAAGTTGATATAAAATTTCTGTCTAAAGTCTATCATTTCTTTTCTCTAAAGATAATTCCTTTCTTTTCCATACTAACTCAGGTTACTTTAATAGGAAGTGAATTAAAACAAATGACCATTTCTCCACTCTGCTGTGTGAATTTAGGAGTAAATTATTTAATCTTCTGTCTTACTTTCCTTATCCGTAAAATAGGATCAATAATAATATCTAACTCTAGGGGTGGTTAAATGAGTATCAATATATGCAAAGCCTTTCAAACAGTGTCCAGCACACACTAAGCAATCAAAAAATTAAATCTGGCAAACTATTTCTCTTTCATATGTGTGATTTATTTAAACTATTGAGTATTCTATACCCCATAAAAATGTGAATACTGATGTAAACAGTTATGAAGTAGTTATTATTCTGGGTGAGAATAACATTGGGAGTAAACAAAAGAGAATATTTGAAACTTTAAAATTCTGTTCTCCTCAGCTGGGATATGCAATTTACATATCACAAAAGATGTTTACAAAAGCAAAACCAAATGGAGAAAAGTAGAATATGTTTTTACACAGAATGACCTGATTATCAGCATCAGTTAGGGAATGAGGTGTGACCTTCAAATTTACAGAGATCATGAAATTTGGTCCAACTTCAAACCATTTTATTTTAGAAGTTCCTCAGGATCCTTGATCAGTTTCAAAACAGCACTGGTATCCAACTCTATTCTCAGGAGAACACGAACTATCTTGCAACTAACTTTGTAACTATTCCTATAGCTCCCAAAGACCAAGCAAGGTGCAGATATTGTGCTAGTACTTCATATACATCGTCTAATAAAAACAATACTTTTAGAAAGAGATATTATTGGGGCTAGCAGGTGGCGCAGTGGTTAAGGTGCTGGACTCTCATGTGGTCAACCATAATGCCAGTCCTGAACCCAGTGGCTTGAATCACACACTGGGTGCATATGCATGCATGTGAGCCCAGAATTCCAGGAGAAAAGTGGGGGAAAAAAAGGGATTGTGGCATGGCCATCCCCATGGGGGGTTGATTTCTCATTTTCTGTCTCTTTCTGTCCCTCCAGAGAGGGCACACGCCCTATAGCAAAAATCTCTTAAAAAGAAAAATAAAAATTATTATTTCCTTAAACAGATTAAAGAACTTGTTAACGTCATATAAAATATCATATAAAATCCTGTTCAACCTTTCTCCTCCACACTTGTTTTATTTTGAAATTTGGGCTCTTTTTTTTTTTTTCTTGGAGAGGTTTTTACTATAGGGCACATGTGCTTGCCAGAAAGACAGAGAGACAGAAAGCGAGAAATCACCCTCCTGGCCACGCTGCAATCCCTTCTCCTCTATTCTCCTCGGGATCTTAGGCACGCACGCACACACATCGGCATGAGTTTAAGCCACCAGGTCTGAAACTCGAACTGTGGTCAACTACATGGGAGTCCAGCAACATGACCATTATGCTAACTGCTGGTCCAGAAATTTGGGCTCTTTGAGAAAGTAAAAATTTTCTAACTTTTTCAGTTTTCAAAACAGATTAATGAAAAAGATAGAAGATTAGTTTACTGACTGATGGTTCTAGATGTTTTTACTACAATGAAAGAAGAATTAATCAACTGCTCAAAGTAACTTCATTGTTTTTCTTTTAAAGGATAACAAGATATGTAGATAGGTCTTTTTTTTTTTTTTTTTTTGGAGATTTTTTTTGCTACAGGGCACATGCGCTTGCCAGAAAGACAGAGAGACAGAAAGCGAGAAATCACCCCCGGGGGGATGGCCATGCCGCAATCCCTTCTCCTCCATTCTCCTTGGGATCTTGGGCATACACGCACATGCACCTGGCGTGAGTTTAAACCACTGGGTCTGGGACTCGAACCACGGTTGACTACATGGGAGTTCAGTGACATAGCCATTACGCTAACTGCTGGTCTTGAAGCAGCAGCAAAAAAAAGAACTGCTGCTGTGACAAAATTAGTAGTAATTCTTCGTAACACCCAAGAAATTGCTTTCAAAAGTTATATCTGTTGCATACTTTTTTTCCCTCAGAGATATACTCAGGATATCACAATTCTGAGTGTGGTAGTAGAAAACTAAAAAAGACTGCCTGGGAGAGCATTAATTTTAGGTGACCAGTGATCTACTTAGAAGACTAAGTCATGGGAGAAAGGGTATAATTTACTATTAAAGATTAAAAGGTGTATATTTCACTAATTTGAACCAAGGGTAATATAACATATAATGAAAGATTCTGATTCAATTTTTAGGCAATACACAATCAGATTTTGGTTTAGTTTTTGGCAGGCCAAATAGAAACAGTAACAGAAAAATACATAAATTCAATCATAGGGACTGGATTACTCAGTTTGTAATCTTTCTAAGACCTTTGTTTACATCCTCCTGGTCAATATTTGATTTTAAAGTTTCCCAAAGGACAGTTGAAAAAGAAGGAAAAAAACCTGAAAAAAATCTGGTAACAAAGACAATATACCTAAAGATAAACCTAAATTAGAATTTTAGACTATGTGGTAATTTGGAATCAATTGAGAACTATAATCTCACATTTCAAAAGAAGTGAATAGAAAGAGTTCATTTCAACTTTATCTGTGTTGCTTGAAGAAACACATGGGAGAAAGTAAAATATTTTTAAACAAAGATGTGAGACCAAAATATAACCAATTACAACTCCTGATGAAAACTTAAAAACTAGTTGTAAATAATGAAAATTTTACCACCAATAAATGACAAGTAAACACAAATCTTTCTCTTTTAAAAAGAATTTTTAAACATTTAAAGAAATTTTTAAAAAATACTTAAGGAAATCAATTTTTAAAAATAGTTTTTCTTTCTAAAAATATTTTTTCTCTACTCTAGAATACTTATTTGAGATAGCTACGAGATGACCTTCATCCTTTTTTTTTTTTTTTTTTGGGGTGGGGGGGGGTGGGTGGGTGTTTGGGGTTTT